CTGAACTGTATTCTGGAAAGCCTATTATGCCTGGAAGAACTGAGGTATTTAGAGTTTTTTTTTTTTTTTTCTTATGGGCATGTAGAGTTGATGCTCTTCACTGATTTTTATCTTCCAACTATTTGGTAGCACAAACGCGCGCACACATGTTTCTGCTTTTAAATTGAATACTTTCTAGTTGGTGGAAGAATAAGAAATCAGCTAATAACCTTTCTTATTTAGTGGAAATCACCATAATGAATCATCTTCATAAATGTGTGCCGTAAACTTGCTTCCATCCTTATTCCTGATCCAGTTTGTTGTGATTTTACAACATGAACCTAGTGGTGGCATCTTGCATGTCTGTCTTGTGGCTCTCTGAATTGTTGTTCCTGTTAGGTTCATTATACACTACGAAGTAGTTTGAGTGTAAAATTTCAGATTATTCTTCCCCTTTCTTAGAAATGGTTTGTTAGATGTGAGATGGCTCTTTAGAGGTGGCTTTGTAAGTAACCTCATTGGGCCATGCCACCATGAAGGCTTTGTGGTTTTAGCTGGTAGGTTAGGGATAGTTTATGTACTGTTTCTGTTTGCATTCCAGTTGCTCAATTTCTCTGTGCCCTTGTAGTCATGCCGACTTTGTAATTATTAGGATGTCCCCTTTCTGTTTTTTACATTCAGAATCTCATATGCTTCTCTAAGATGTAAGTGTTGTGCAACTAAATAACCGGATTTTGTGGATTTTTACCTTGTAGGTGGAGCAGTTGCATAAGATTTTCAAGCTTTGTGGCTCACCTTCTGAAGAGTATTGGAGAAAATCAAAGTTGCCTCATGCAACCATATTTAAACCCCAACAACCTTATAGACGTTGTGTGGCAGAAACTTTTAAAGATTTCCCTGCACCAGCTTTAGCACTTATGGAGACCCTTCTTTCTATAGATCCTGCAGACCGTGGATCTGCAGCTTCTGCTCTCAAGAGCGAGGTTTGGATATTAATTTATTTCCAATTTAATGTTTTCTAAACAGGCATTATTTTTTCTGCAGTCTTTCTTTTAACTCGATATCTTCTTTGACACCATTCTATGTGTGCCTCACTGCTTGTGCATGCTTACATCTGCGGTAGAGCAGTAGATATGTTGTGCTTTCCATCTTTTGCCTGTGGTATTTTTGAAAGTACAACTTTACTGTGTTCAAGTCCACTTTTCATTGAGTTCACTCATTTAACGTCGTCTCTACTTTTATGCCATGTAATGGTAGCTAATTAGTAGCTCTGGAGATCATGTTAAGCAAACCACCAGATTGCAGCAATTTTTTTTGGTTTTTCCTGACTCTGCTTTTAAAGGCTACAATGTGTATTTTAATTGGCAGGAACATTTGATAACTCTCTTCTGCATTAATAACTATTTAGATTTTAGAATCATCCTATCTCTTTATGAGTTATTCTCCCATAACTTTGGTTGTATTTCTCATATGTTATCTTTTTGTTTCCTTATTTTTCACAGTTCTTTACAACAAAACCTCTTCCTTGTGATCCATCAAGTTTGCCAAAGTATCCTCCAAGCAAAGAGTTTGATGCTAAAGTACGGGATGAGGAAGCTAGAAGGTGAATGTTGTTGCATAAATTAGTAACTGACACTTAACTACAAGTAGAATTTTACCGTTTCTCAATTTATAGTTGCAAGGAAGTTGCACAGTTGGACCACTAGCGTGTGTTTATATATATTATATCTAGATTCTACACACATTTTAAAGTACTTACATTTGTGGCATGAGTAGTTCAGTCCCAACAATAACAAAACAAAGCCTTATCCCTCTAAGTGGGGTCGATTGTATGAATCCTAGAATGCCAATGTGCTAGGATTTTCTCCAAGTGTTCCGTTGGCCTCCCAAAAAAAAAAATGAAAATCCTAGAAAACACTGGATTTTCTCCAGTGTCGGACAGACTTGATGCATGATACCTGTGGGTGAAGTTGTTCTTTTGTGATTTTACTAAAGCTTCCGTGTAGGGGTTCTTTTGTTCTTAACATCAAATAATGGGAAACTATCTAAACCTAAACGTAATGGAATGAGTAGGCTTTGGTATTTAATAACTGATCTCATACGAGTCTGGACACTGGAGTTTCCCTAAAGCACCCTAGTTTTGTACAATTTTTCGTTGGTTGGGGCTGTGTACGGTTGTGATTTAGTCTCATTTATGAAGTGCATTAGTATAAAACCATTTATTATTTCTGTGTACATGCTTACACACTGATGGTTTTTGGTTGAATTCTGTCTACTCATTTCTCAAGATTTAATTTGAGTATTGTGAACCTGATATAAAGTTTGGTCCTATATGTATAGTTTTTTCCTCTTCTATTTTTAACATTGTTAATGTGGGTGGTGTATATAGTAACAATCTTTTTCCACACATTGGTAGACAAGGAGCAGCAGGGAAGGGCCAAAGGCTTGACCACGAAAGGAGAGGAACAAGAGAGTCTCGAGCCATACCAGCACCTGATGCTAATGCTGAATTAGTCATGTCAATGAAGGTAACCTGATGTTATTTTAACTAAAAACACTCACTTGGCTCCATCATTGATTTATGTTCTAACCTTTTATGTATGATGATATTTATGTGTTGCCTTTCTTTTCTGTTTTTTACATGAACTTGCAGTATTTAATTGACATATTCAATGCACTTTTATTGCATAGAATCTGCCAGAAAATATCTTATATATTTTCTCTTCTACTTCTTTAAAAATCATGTCTTTTTTTCAAGTTTTCTACTATGAAAGGGGGCTTTTATGATCAACCCAAATTTTTCCTTGAGTTATATATACCCGTGCTTAGCTTGTGATTTCTACCAATGTGATTAACTCAACATAACATTGATGGTCTTGTTAATTACAGACTTGCTTTTCTTCAACTACGGAATAATGTATTTTTCAGCTGTGAAATAATTTCTTTCACCTATAATCTTGCGTGATCCAAATTGCATGTTATTATTCAATGCAAGAAATTGTTGGACTCAAATTTCTCTTGGAGACCCTTTGTTGTAAATTATTCAGTATTGTTTATGATATTACATTCATATGGGATATATATCTCAATACAAGGGGTTTTCTTGTTACAGAAAAGACAAGACGGTTCTAAGAGCCGGAGTGAGAAGTTTAACCCTCATCCAGAAGAAGTAGCTTCTGGCTTTCCAATTGATCCACCTAGGCTATCACAAGCCGTAGATGCAAGTGTAGAACATCATGGACATAATCATAAGCGAGCTTCCCATTCAGGGCCATTGGCTCACCGGGCTGCATGGGCCAAGTCTACTAAGAACCCAGATGATGCTCCAAAGGTTTCAACTGGAGCTGACTTGTCAGCAATGTCAGGTTTAGTGGTAGCAAGGAGGAGTATGTTTTCTGAAGAACGCAGAAAAAGGTCTAGTTCTTCACAAATGGAAGTTCCAAAAGCAATAGGCACGTTTCCGGGTTCCTTCAAGGAGGCATCAGATCCCCTACAACAGGATCAAAAGCAGGTCATTGCAGGTTCTCATCAAAAAGAAGATATTCGAAGCAACAAAGATCCAATTATTGTGAGTACCTGAACTCAAGCCTTTTCCCCTATGATGGGGTTTCCTCGTTGATTTATAATCGCTTGTGTAAAGTAACCTCAAGAGTGTGTGTTTTGTTTTAATTTTGATTTGTGGTTCATAAGCTATTCTTTATGGTTTATGTTTCGTTTTTTTTATTTTTTATTTTTATTTTTTATTCTTATTGCCCAATACATCACTTTTTATTTCTGGTTACTTCAGGTTGGTTACGGATCAAGGGGTCACAAAATGCACTACTCAGGTCCGTTGCTAGTCCCCTCTGGCAACGTGGATCAGATGCTGAAGGACCACGATCTCCAGGTCCAGGAAGCTGTTAGACGAGCACGCCTAGACAAGGCAAAGGTCAGAAAATTTCACGCTGAGGCGAACCAAATATCCACCAATTCATTATTTGTTTCCGGTCGTTGAGCTGGCATAAGTAGACCCGAAAGCAGAGCATCAGCAACAGGAAAATCACCGCAGATAAAATTGCTGGTTTTCTCTTGTGAAATGTGAGTTATTCATTGGTGGGGGGTGCCTTTATTTTTTTTGTATAGGGGGCCGGCACTCGTGGAAGAATAGCCGGTGCCCATTTTTAACTAAGTTTATAGCACACGCTCGCTCGCTCTCTCGCCCTCTCACCTGTATCGTTTTCCCTCCTTTGCTGCTGAAAATATGGCCCATTCTTGTAGAGCTTGTTATAAGCCATAAGCTGTAGAGTATGTGGGAAATATGAAAATTGTGTTTTGTGATGGAAAAGAGTAATTTCCTTGTGCTGTTATAACCACCTTCCCCTTTGTCAACTTTATTTACTTTTTGGATAGAAAATGGGGAAACGGTGAATCTGTTTACTCTTTTGAGTTCACATTTATAATTCTCACTTTCGCATGTAATCATGATTAGTCCCCATTTTCTTACAGCTTGACTGGAATTCTAATAACAGATGCTGCATAATTTCCTAATCCTTTGATTTTTGAGTAATATATTATCTTGAAAATAGAGACGACCTAGATGATTACATCAAGACTAGTGCTTACCTAAATTTTTGTTGGGTAGATTGGCACTATAAGGTTGAAAAATGTAATTGGCTGCGTATGACTTCTTGTCATGGCTAACTTAGCTACGTCTAAGTTCGCTCTTGTCGTGGGCATCGAAAGTCCAAGCCTGCACACTCCTTTTCTCCTTATGCACATCCTATTTTTTCAATCCTTGATTCTCCTTTGGTTTTCTTAATCTAAAGGTCGGAAATAAATAAGAGTGTGTAAAGAAGTATGCGGAAATCAGATCCCAAGTCGGCATGCTTGTTCACTCTGGGTTTTTACCACACAAATGTTGACTTGGAAAAGTTTGGTTTAATTCAATTTTGTTGCTTCTGGAAGGCAAGGCAAGTTCTATATATTTTGACTGCAGGATGATGCAGAAGACTCATAGCTTACTGCAGGTGCCATAGAATTCAATGGAGTCCCTTCAATTAATTGTACTATTCCTAACCACCCTCTTTCTCCTCCAATCAAGTTTTGCAGTTGATTTCTCCTTCACTGGTTTCAACTCATCTGATATCTTGCTCTATGGAAATGCAACCACAGATTCTGGTGTTCTCTCTCTCACAACCAACACCACATTTTCCATGGGCAGAGCTCTCTACAATGCCAAGGTTCCCACAAGGTATCCAGATTCCATAAACCTTTTGCCTTTTACCACCTCTTTCACCTTTTCCATAGCCCCATACGAGGACTCTGTCCCTGGCCACGGATTCGTCCTTGTTTTCGTTCCCTCTCCAGGCATCCAATCCGCCTCTCCATCCCAACATCTCGGCTTCTTGAACAATACCAATAACGGTAACCCCAACAACCACGCTTTTGGGGTCGAATTTGATGTGTTCCAGAACAAAGAATTCGGTGACATCAACGATAATCACGTCGGCGTTAACGTCAATTCTCTAATTTCTCTGGCTTCTTACAACGCTGGATACTGGCTTGGTGACGGCAGTAACATTACTGACTTGTCTTTCAAGGAAATAAAGCTGAGTAGCGGAGACAACTATCAAGCTTGGATTGAGTACTGGAATTACCAGCTCAGCATAACATTGGCTCCTGAAAATGTGAAGAAGCCTGAGAGGCCTTTGATTAGTGTTCCTCTTGATCTCACTCAAGTTTTTCTTGATGAAATGTATGTTGGTTTCACTGCATCAACCGGCCAACCAATTGAAGATCATAAAATTCTGAACTGGAGCTTCAATAATTGAAGCTAGTATAATATTTAGAGTATTTCGTCGATGTACTCTCTGAACTTGTAGATTGCTTTTAATTTTACACTTTTTTTTTTTTTAAAGAATAAATGGGACTCGAACTATTAAAAAAAAAAAAGCCAATTACCTCCGTGCCGTCATATTTCCTATATAGTGCTACATCCAATGTATTTATCTTGAATATGTGTGTTGGAAGATTTGTACCTTCAGAAACAAGTAGGGTTCATGACATGCCTCATTAACCTAGCTTAATGGAGGCATGAAATATTTGTTTCTTGTTTTGATTTTGATTTTGTAAAAGTTGATGGTATTGTAAAACGATTATAATTCTGTCCTTATTCGTGCATGATCTTTGTGATTTTATATTTGACATTTTTTTTTTATTCAGACGATATTCTATTATAAACTATTATAATTTACAAAACAAAAAATTTGAATTTAGTGCAAGAAGATGTGAGCATACTACCTAAGCCAAACGTAACATTTCACATTTGCTGTGTTTGCCATTTCTAAAGTAGCATTTGTTGCATACGGCCCAAAGGCCACTAAACAAAACATTTGAATGTTACTAGAAATTATGCCCGCGCGTTGCTGCGGGAATCAGCTATTTCAAACGTAATCGAATGGATAAAACACATTTAAGTTGAATAAATGTAAGACAATTATGAACAAACAGAGAGATACATGAGTGAATGAGGCCGGTAAGATAATCAATTTTGCTTTTATACACATTTAAGTGAGTTGGCATATAAACACATTGCACAATGAGTGGGAAGAAACTGTACGTGTTTGATTAGAAAGAGATGGTTTCCAAAAAACTTCTGTTTACTTAAGAAACAGAAGAAACATTTAGTTCACACATATAACATGTGTCCTGTAGTGTAGGCAGGTAGTTCAACAGGAAATATAACATAGAAAGTGTTGAGGGCTTGTTCAAGTAGCTAATTTTTGAACCACAATTGTTCAAAGGCAAAAAAACAGAAAAGTCTGTTTTCATATGAAACTGAAGAAACAGAAGCAAACTGCAGTTTACACATATTTTGCCTCTGCAGTTAAGACGACAAAATATATGCTCTGCAACCTACATACCTCACTTAGCAGATAGCAAAACACAGGAAAAGTGGTGTTTGCACAAGTAAGTCGTCAACCATAGATGTTAAAACAAAAAAATATGCAGCATGGTGTGTAGCATTCAATCACGGAGAGCATGGCTGTTCACTTTTTCTGGGACCGAAGATCTTCCACACTATAGCAAAAAACATCAATCATAATGTAACAAAGCCAGCCATTATGAATGCTATTCAAGCATGTGTGCAAACAACAAATTGTAAGTTACCTATCTTTGTTTTTTTGGGCTGAGTTTTTGTTTTGAGGGCAGCAATTGGAACTTTGTCGGCAGGTTTGATCTTGGGGACAACCAGATTGTGGAATTCTGCAGCAATTCTGTCAGCATTTGTTGTGGTTGTTTGCTTGGTGCGAGGTTTTTTGCTATGAATGAAAGCAAAATTGATAAGGGTAAAGATAAGCGTGATAGTTATGGAAAAGAGTGCGAAACAGTGGTTGACACCTTTTCATGATTACAAACATATATCCAAGAGAAGCAAGTACGGTTAATAAGATTGACAGATGAGAGCATCACTCGTAAGGAAAAGTTTACCTGGCTGATGTGTTTGGTTGATCAGGGAACAACGTTCTTTTCAAAGTCCTAGCGGCTGCAATTGATCGGGGTTGTTGATCCAATGGTTGGGAAGGTGTCAATGGGGCAGAGTGACTTGATTGATATTTTTTTTTTTTGCTGTGGTGGGAGTGGGCGTTTGTGGTTTGATTGAGGGGATTGCTGGCTCGGACAGTGGCTTATCTTCAAGCAATCCGTGAACATTGAAATGTCTTTCCAAAGTTGCTGTTCTGATTTCCAAAAGAGACTTGAAATGTTTTTGATTGGCCCACCAAATTTGCAAGAATGGTGGCGCCACAAAAGGATCGTCATATCCTTCTTCCATCATCGAAGTGTGGCAAGAAACACAAAGTATTTTTTCGGCGTGTCTTCCTATCATGAGGAAATTGTGTTGATTTGTGTTATCTTCCACAATAACATCAATTTTGAAATTGTGCAAGAGGAGGATATTCTTGTGTTAGACAACCATGACTACTAATGTCAATCTTGTGAGCAATCTAGAAAATGCATTAGGATCATCATAATGCAGGGTATCCATGAATAGCATGGACAGAAAGACACATAGATCATTTAGATGGATATCACTCAACATGAATAAGTTATGCAAACTAAAGAGCGTTTATTGAAAAGTTTTAGTTAACGAAATCTGCAACAACAAAGTATACATCATTTGTTGCCCACGTAAACTCCACAGTTGCAAGGGTCAAACAACAGTCAAAGTACAGTGGGGATGGAGACTACCCCAAAGTTAATTGCATGCATGCATTGAGATCGCAAACCAAAGATCAATTAAGGCATGATAGCGATTGCAAAAGCATATGCCGGCTGGATAAACGTATGTGTTTGTGCTTTTACATAAAAGTGAATTAAAGATGTCGCAAATTTAACCATCAAGTATAAAGATATATCGAAAGACACCGTTTGACATAGAAAAATTAATGATTTATAAACATACAAATGGTAGTTTCATGAGATATTCAGAGTCTTTCTATAAAGTTGAAAGAGATATGTAACGGTAGGTTTATCACATGTTGAAATTTGTTGCTGCATAGAATATTATAAGCATACAAACATTATTTTGTATGAATTTTATAACCATTAGAAATAAAAAATGGAGTCAGCAAATTAGTATAAGGAGTGGATGAAAAACAGATGCGAAATAATATTACCATGGTTCGGGTAATTTATTCAATAAACCATGTTCATTGCACTCAAACGATCCATGTCTTTTTTACAGCTTTATGGTAGGATGGACAGGACTTGTACCACCAGCCCTTGCCTAAATCAAATTCAACAACAGTCGCTTGGCATGCGAAACTTTCATTCTGTTATTGAGTCATAGGTTTTCAAATCATTAAACATATATAACCGTGACTTTGCAAAGATGGAGCATAAGCAAATAGAGAAAGAAATCAAGTAGCAGCCAAGGAAGATGCAGCAATTTTTTTCTTGTAAAAAAGAAGAGGTAACTTCTGTTAACATGTCGGTGATTAGAGACTAACCTTATTGGCTTCAAAGATCAAGACACATTTCAAAAACTCTGCATGTATAATCTTTCCACCATTTTCTTATCCAGTTCTTTTGCTAGAACACTTGCTTTTTGTTTGGCATATACTGAATAAAAAATGGTATAACAAACAGTGCAATGCTTTAGTATGTTTGTCTCACCATTGAACACTATTGGAGCAATAAAAGACTTGCAGTGTTTAGTGTGAGTATGATGCATAGGTTAGTCGTAAAGATATGACAATAACATCAGGGATTGAGTTTAATCGTACTCAATCACCCATCAAAAACCAAAGAAATTCAAGAAAATGAAGAATGCAATAATTTTAAGGTCTTGTTTCTTATCAAAATAGATCCCTCTTAAGAAAGGGAATGAGGCAATTCTGAGAAGCAACCGCTGGGTAAGAGTACAAAATTGCAGGCTTTTCATTTTAAAATTTAAGGTTCAAATTTTCATTTCTATTCTGAAGATCAATATTATGTATCTTCTCATCTTCTTCATGCATTTAGATACATTTTGAAAGAAAGTCCCATGCTATTTTATTTCCATTCTGTGGTGTTCTAATCTTTCAAAAGACTCCACACTTGCAGCACTTCTTCAAAAGTGGAAAAAACAGGGAAACCACGCACCCAGTCTGATTTTAAAGTAAGTTTCAAAGTCATTATACCTCCTGTTAGTTCCTCCTACCCTCACTTGGGCTCCATATGGAAAGATTTTCTTGACAGTTCCTTCTAAAAGTGTTCCCTCCTTAAGGTATAACAGTTCTTGAAACATTATATGGCAAACCAATGTTAGTTCTTATGAAAAATAAGATCACATAATCACAGAACAAACAATGAGAGAACATTGGAAGCAACAAAAAACATGAATAAATCAAATGTCGAAATCCAACTGACCCAAGCTTTTTTCTCACTCAATACTAAATCATTCTTAGCTTCGTCTATTCGCGTAATCTGCACATGCATCCGGCAACCCACCTACACCATTAGAGCAACTCGACCTCTAAAGACTTTGCGCCAGCACCCAGCCCATTTATCCACTTCAATGAACAGTAATAGACCCTAATGAACCGTAATAAGCCAAAGCATCTCCACCCCTAAAAAAATGTGCTAGCATTCAGTCTAAAAATGCGCTGGCACAAACGATCTCCACCCCTACAAAATATACTGGCATCCAATCCATTTAAAATATTAATAATTTTTTTATAAAATAATAAATTAAAAAAATAGTTTTAATTTCGAATAGGATTTTTAACCAATCTCGTCACGCCACATGTCATTATTCGAACGTACTATTTTGTGAATAGATTTCCGCTAAGATTTTCAACCAATCCCGACAAGCCACGTGTCACTTCCTGTTTACAATAATTTAGGCAAGATTTCGATAAGATTTTCAACCAATCTTGTAACGCCACGTGTCATTATCTGAACGTACTATTTTGTGGATAGATTTCTAATAAGATTTTCAACCAATCCTGACACACTACGTGTCACTTCATGTTTACAATAATTTAGCCAAGATTTCGATAAGATTTTCAACCAATCACGTAGTGCCACAAGGCATTGTCCAGAACCTCATCTTTTCATTTTTTGTCCATATAAACCCTACATCCCTACATCCATCCTCACACTAAACTCAATCATTTTTTTTAGCTCAGAATCCTTCTTTATCGATTTCAAATCTTGAGTTCTTACAATGTCTTCTTCAAGGAGACTGTATAAACAGTTGGAAGAGCAGCAGAAAAGGTTGTTGGCACAACAGGAAGAATTGGTCAATCTTGACGAAGGTGGAGGTGGAGATGAGGCCTTCGCAATGGAGGAGGATGAGGATTATCACCATAGAAGGCGGAGGGCATCACATTCCCGCCGTATCATGGAAGCTGTGGGTCAGATAGCCAAACTCAGACGTTCGGCAAACGTCAATAGAAGAAGGGAAAGACGAGATAAAGATCTCTTGGAAGATTATTTTATTCCCAACAGCGTTTTCCCTGATCATGTTTTTAGACGTCGTTTTAGAATGCAACGAAGTTTGTTCGATAAAATCATGAGTGCTGTTTGCAACCATGATCCATATTTTGTGCAAAAAGAGAATGCTTTTCATGTTCTAGGTCTTCTTTCGGAGCAAAAAATTACGGCTACCTTGCGAATGCTTGCATATGGAGCATCTGCAGATCAAGTGGAATGCATATAAATTACATAAGAAATTACATAAAAATTGCATAAGAAATTACATAAAAATTACATAAGAAATTAAATAAATTAAAATATTGATGTGGGTGGAATGCATATGAATAAATTAAAATATTGTTACCTGATCCGCTAAACTTTGTCCCACTACGCAGATTACCAGAAGCATGAGAGATGACATTTTTCCAACAAGTAAAGGATGCGTTGAGTTTTTTCCAACAACCTTGAAGACCTTGATTAGATTTGGCATATTTTCCATGTACATCGCAAAACGCTTTCGTAATTTTACTCCACATTTCTCGCTTATCCATCTCGTTACCCGTAATGGGGTCATGAGTAGTGTGAACCCAACATTTATACAACGTAACATCTTTAATGAGCTTCCACGAAGTCATTTTTTTTCTCTCAAAGTGTACAAAATATTCAAATGTAGAAAGTGTAGAAAATATTGAAATGTGGTGTAAGGTGAAAGATAAGGGTTAGGTATTTATAGAAAAAAAAAAAAATTAATTTTTTAAAATTTTTCTGTATTTTAAAAAAAATTCATAATTTTTAATTAATTTTTAATAAATTTTAATGTTGTCAATTAATCTGAATCGTTGGATTTGAAAAATATTTAAATCCAACAGTCAAAGAGCTGCCACATGGCCAACGGTCAAAATTATGACCGTTGGGCCTTTTTTTTTTTGTTTTATTTTTATTTTTTGTGAAAAAAACGTAGATCGTTGATCTGTGATCGGACGGTCCATTTTAAAAGTCAAATTTAAACTTTTTTAACTGTTGGAAATCCAATGGCCTACAAAAACTAGCCGTTGGAAATCCAACGACACTGAGGAGGGCCACGTAGCCCTCATCCGGGTGAACACAAGTGGGTTGACAAGCGGGCCCCGCCGCCTGCAACCTTGTCTCCTACTCGCGTCCAGTCGCGAGTGTGCTGCACGCGCTAGCCAAATAGGTCAGCTTCTAGGTCTGTCCAAAATAGACTAGTCTGTTGCCTCGTTTGGGATGGGTGCTAGGCTGTTTTGCGGGCTGGAGCACTTGGACAAGGTGCTGGCCTCACTTTTGGACAGGTTGCTGGGCTATTCCACCTCTGGTGGAACTGCTCTTAGGAAATAACGTGTAAGAAGCAGATTAACAAATCAAACATATGCAACTATCTAAGAGAGGAAAAAGTTAAACAATGAAAAGTTGTCAGTTGAGGTAAATCATGCTCCACAATGAAAATTAGTAAAAGATTAAAGTAAAAAACAACTGAGGTAAATCATACTCCAGAACGACAAATTTTTAGAAATACAAACTTAAAATATTACCCTTTGAATTTTCCAACAGTTGCTGTAGAGTGGGGTCACTTACAGCAAGTTTAACATAATGAAGTTAGAACACTTTAAACTCTACCCAGTAGCAGAACATAAACACCAAAATCCAACACAAAGACCAAGCAGCATACCAGTTCTCTATCTTGTATGCTCTTTTCAGCTGGATCTTCTTAACTCGTTTCAAAAAAACGTTCATATAGTTCACCTGCTAAGATTATCACACACAGCGAAAAAGTAAACAGATTTGTACCAAGGAATACATAAGGAGCCAAGAAATGAGAAAAAAGATCTACCAACAGAGAGATGAGAAGCAAACACCAGCAAATTATGAAGAAGCAGAGAAATGAGCACAGTGAAACCCAAAAATTCAAATGATGGTTTTAACAAAGCAAATGGGAACAAAACAATAAAAAAATGTTTTTCAAACAGTGTATAACCTTCAGCAACATTGCCGAGAACCCTTCCTCTCCCCCTCGCTCTCCTTCCATCGCCATTACCCTCTCACTCTGTCTCTCTCTCTCTCTCTTTCTCTCTCTCTCTCTCTCACAGAGCCTTCATCCGCGAAACCCTCATTCAACGACAGCAAATGAAACCTACCCGGTTACCCCCTATCTCTCCCAAAACCGAAAGGACAAAGTTTTCCTTCCCGATACACCATCGGATTGTTATTTTGTACGGGCAAAACTGTAATTTAAAATTTTGGGCCTGACCAAGGGCCGGGCTTCTCAGCTAAAACCAATACATTTGGGCCTGGCTGCAAGTCGGGCTGCTCACCTGAAGGCAGCACAAAGAGCAATGGCATTGTTGTAATTAAACTGAAACTCGGATGATTGGAACATCATTCATTTCTACAGTCTCATTTCCAACCTTTCTTT